TTAGACCGCCATCTAAAGAACAACGACAAGAGTTACAACATACTACGAGTCCGTAAGTTCGCCATGTTCACCTGCTATTTCGCCATGTTCATCTGCTTTTGGATGCTATATAATTACGGCCTCGTCCAATTTTGGCTGTCCTCGGAATTTTTCTCATCCAATTATTTCCAAACTGGACAGCATGTAGTCCTATTACATATACAAATATATTTGGTATTACAAGGTATGATCTTTAATTATTTCATTTTATTTACTTCAGGTTATTTATTGTAATGTAATGTAATGTAATTTTCTATTTATACAGTACCAACTCCGCCTAGCTAAAAAGCTACTTAAGTTACATCTTCCAAGAAAAGCAATGTCACTAATGTCACCGGGGAGTCGTTATAGCCCTGGTCCGTTAACCGTCTTGTCAACTCCAGCATATTATCCTACCTGTACAGCCAACTTATTTGCCCCATTCACACTTAACACACGCTGCACATCTGCAGTGATCGCTGCACTCGTGAACAAGTACATACCCTTTGGGTGAAGGGTGAGGTCGTGTTTTTCCAGGCTTCTCGCATGTGCTTCTTTTTTCTCTGAGGTTCCTCATAATTCCTTGTAGCGGGAAGTCGTCATAAGTTCCCGTGTCTTCTGTTTGGCTATATTCCGGGCGAAGGTTTTCCTCGTTCAGGATAATTTCGTCCTCTTCCGGATCGGTAGAAAAGGACCCTATGACATCATGCTCGTCTCCAGACCTCTTATCAAGTGCGCCAACGGAGGACGAAGCCCTCACAAGCAGGCAAAACATGAAGAGAACTATAAACGTACTGGGCTGTAAGGTAGAGAAGGACAACGAGTACATTAAGTATATACACTAAATAATTTATATGCATAGCTTCTTATGCAACTGGTGCTGAACAATAAAAGATGAATTAAGGGGTTTCGATATAATTTACCTTTGAAGCTGTTAAGTACATTGCAGAGTCGATAAGTCCCTTGAAAAATACTCAGCACGGAAGGTGGGAATAACGCAACTGATCCTCGCGCTAACGGCGTTTTATTTATACTGTGAATGCTATTGTGCATCAAATCTAGCCACTACAACTGCGATTGAGAGGGAAATTTTAGACACTGACGCTTATTGGCTACTTACAATTAAAAACCAGATGTGCAGAGTTTACCTATTAATTCATTCTGCAATTAATGTGTCCGTAGGCGAGATCATGACAATCGTTGTAGTTTGAAAGCTATTGATAGATTCAGCGACTTAACTTACTTGTAACTTTCTTTTAGGTTGGGGAACAGCAGTAACAAAGTAATTTTACTGGTCAAATTATATTATAACTAGACGCTTTGCTGCGTGTACCCAGGCAGTCGTTATACTGAGAAGCACTAGCTATATTGCAATTGAGCTAAATGTTGTACATTTGAAGTCGTACGAAATTAAATCGAATCGATGTGCTCAAGCTATTCTGTCTTTGATTGTATTTCTTGGAATCGATTAATAGTTTATTATTCGTTTGCAGGCCTTTAGGGCGTGAAATGAGTCAAGGTCTTTTTCATGATCGGCCTATAAACGTTTCAGTCTGTTTTCCTAGTTTTTTTTTTTTTTTTTTTTT